ACGTTCCTACCCATAACTAACCATTCCACGTGATTAAAAGGCGATTTTGAACCAATAAAAACATTTATTCTATATAACTAAACCTCAAAAAAAAAAACTTTTGGATTTTGTGCAAATATCTAAAAAAATTTATTTCCAAATTTTCTATATCCTTGTTTCGTTATATAGCGTTGATTCTAATTTTTTTTTTTTTTGATAAAGGAAGTAACATTAAATGTTATATAATGAATTATGAAAATTTTTTCTTACGAAATGAAAATAAGTACTAGTAAAGTTATTTAAACAATGAAAATTTTTAACAGATAACTCACTTTTTTTTTTGTAAGATTAAAATGTATAAGTAAAGCAATTTTAATAATTCTAATACAGTAATATACTTGAAGATTTATTTTGAGAATATAAAGACGATATAAAACTTTAGTGAACTTTATTATGTATTTATTTATTAATAACAAAAGTATCGAAATTGAATTACAATAAATTTGATACGTAGTTATATGAAAATCAACCTACATAAGTTATTCTTCAATCAGTAAAATTAAAGAATGACTATTAATGCAGAATATTACTACTAACAAACACGAATCTACGATAAATTCTATTGATTATAAATCTAAACCCTCATTTACGGTTACAGTATATTCATGTAAATAACGAAAGACAAAATCTAGGCCCAGAAAGACAAAAGAGCAAACCGGTGAAATTGTATTACTTAATGGTAATAAAACTTCTAATACATACGATCCCTCATTTATGGAAGACAATTTGTCACCCGTGCATGCCTTCCACTTAGGCGAACCCAAACCTGACTTAGCACTGCTAACATTGATTTGTTAGTTCTTTCAATTTCTCAGGTTTCTCAAACAAAAATTTTCACAAATATCTTTTAATGTGGTAATTCAAATTTTTTACTCAACCCCTAAAATGCTTCTTGCAATGTCAGAGCAGATGAGTTAAATTGCAATTCTTCAATTATAATTTCAATATACATAAAGATTGTGAAGGTTGTGATATTTGGTGTGGATATAAAGATTGGGGAGGTTGTGATATTTTGTGTAAAGTCTCTCCCTAAAATGCTTTGGCTTAGTCACATTCCAATTCATAATATTTAGTGGCACCATCTATGAGATCTTGTGTTCACATATATATATCTAAAGGAATTTCTAAATTTTTATTTTTAAGATCATTTAGCATTTGCTACAATGGCATCTCTTAATATGTTTAATTTTGTTAGACCAAATTCATTATTAAAAAGTTCAAGTTGTGTAATAATATCATTACTGCCAAGTTTTTGCATTATTGTATTACAAAAAATACTACTAATTCTTAAAGTTTTAAGATGTTTACTTGTTTGAATAAACATAGAAATTAAAGAATTCTTAATTGCAAGTGCAAGTTCTATTTCATTGGGAGGAGAAATATTTTTTTATGAAGCCACCTCATGATGCTATCATCTATAAGGTGGTTTATAGTTCCAATGTTGGCTGTGTATTGTAAAAATGAGTTTTGGATCATTAGAGAAAACATTAATAAAAGGAATTAATAACGTTTGTTCTTTACTGTCTAGTGTTAAGAGACAAATCTTAAAAATTCGCTTATCATTCAAAAAATCCTCCATATTTATCCATAATAATTGGATAATAATTTTGTACTATCTAGTATCTACAAGCAGGCATGCTATTAATGATTTAATATCATTAGAAACTTTTTAAAAACATCATGAAAAAGGAATATTGATGGACTAGTATTAAAGATTGTGATTTGTTGAAATTCTCAAACTTCAATATTTGAAAGAAATTCTCTAGCACATGGATAACTAGGATATGAAGCAACATTATTAGCTCTGAGGTCAATTATACCTAGCAAATACAATAATATTATAAATTCTGCAAATATACAACATTTATGAAAAATATAGTATATTCCTAAGTATAAGAGGTGATTATACTCTAGCTTCTCTATATTTACATTTCTCTACATATTTTGTATCTTCTAATGACAACAAATTATATATTCATTAGTTTATTTATAAATAGTTTTTTAAGGGCAGTATCATTTATCATCTGATTTTTTTTTATCTGAGACTTACCCTCCCTCTAGTTTTTAATATATAAATTATCAGGTCTCATATATAAAATTTTGATTTTTTTGACCTCTCTTCTAGAAAATCACCTAATAATTGTCAGCTCCCTAACCAAATTAATATTTTATAAAAAATAAAAACCTGTATCACAATGTTTTTAAATTTTTGAAGTTTTTTTTTATTTAAACTATTTAATGCATTTTCTTATTTTATAAATAAATATAAAACTTAATTGGATTTTTAATATATAATAAATAAACTTACTAGATGTTTATTATTTATCTATTAATATTGTTATAAGTTTGGATTCTATTTAAAAATATGTTGTATTTTACAAATAGTAATACAAAATCTTTATAAATAATACCTTGAGTAACTCAAGTAATAGTAAAACTATTATATTAAAATTTTTTTTATTAAGTTTTGGTCAGAACCTTGACTATAGATCATCAAAACACTTGCCATATATACTAAGAAAAAATCTTTATGTTTTTAAAATAATTGTACTAGTAAACTAGTAGATTTATTATAATTATAAATTATATTTGTATTCATATTTATAATAGTAATAGTAATAGTATAGTGTGGGCATCCTTAAACTAACAACTTTTATTAAAAGCCAAATTTGAGACAAAATACTAACTTCTGATTGGCTAATACTTTAAAATTTTATTATATTTTTTAAAATTTTATTATGTTATATATATATATAGCCAAATTTTGAGTTCTATCAATAAATTTAAAACAATTCAACCAAATAAAATTATAATTAAAAAATAAGCTTTGTAACTTTGTTCTTTAGGTTTAATTTTATTATTTTATGAAGAGATTTGGTTAATATCTACTTTAATTTTTTATTTATAAGCTTTTAAAAATTATGTATTTTATATGTTGATTTAAGGATGCTTGTACTGTACTTACATGCATTTTATTTTTACAAAACATTGTTAAAGATACATTAAACTATTGAAAATTTTATCTTTTTGAGTACTTTATCCTATGTTTATTAACCACTATTCATAATTTTTACATTTTTTTTATTTTTTGCTGCAAGATTTTTTACTAGGCAGATGAATTGATAATCACAAATATTAAAGATCACAGTGAAAGAATTAATCAATTCTTTCTAAATAAAATCACATATTAATCCATGATTGAATAACTCAGTGTTTGCATTTGACCTCAGACAATAATTGTGGTGGTCCTACCTGACCACTTATTGGAGATCTTTCAATTCACTGAGACTATTCTTTGCTTTACTTATCCATAGAGATAGTGTATCAATAGGTATTCCTCATGTGCCCCTACCACGTACATAAGAGTTGTAACCATCCATAACTTAGTTATGTCCTTTTAAACAAAAAATATTCGACTCTAGATTAATTACATCATAATTAATCATATGATGCTTGTCTTATACTTCAATTACATAATTAATTAATCATCTGATACTTATCTTTCTTAATCTCATATTTCTTATGCGCCTTGATCGATTTTCGATTGATCCGATTTTGACCGTGACAATATAATAAAAAAGAAGGTAAAAAAAAAAAGGCAGTTAATATATGCTATAAAACTGTTGACAATTATAGGAAAAAGATAGTATGTGCAAATCCAAAAATATTTTACTGAACAATACATGCCTTCGGTTTTGCCGAAATAATACTATTTAATCAATCTTTGACGCATTGTTGTTAGGTTTATTTTCCTTTTGCAAACAAGGTTCGAATTAATAATATTCTTAACTAACAAATCATGTTTTCCATTGCTTTCCACCCTACAAGGTCAACGGCCGCGATTTACGCGAATGGTCTTGAACATCAGGACACCGGGAGCGAATCATGGGTCTCCTGTGCCCTCGTAGGATCAGTGCTGGATCAATGGCCACGATTTACGTGAATAGCCACGCGAATGGTCTTGAACATCAGGCCACCGGGAGCAAATCATGGGTCGCCTGTGCTCCAACACTGATTTTGTGGCTCAGCGGCCGCAATTTACGCGAATAGCAACGCAAATGGCCTTGAATAATCAAGCACGGGAGCGAATCATGGGTCCTTGTCACGCCACTATTTTTCACTTGCAATATTTGATAAAAAAAATTTACTTATCTTCTGAGAAGTTCTTCTGCCTTTTCTTTTCTCTTTTTTTGCTCACCTCAAGCAATACATCTGAGGCACCTAATGTGTAGATTCACTTTTTTGCTATATGGCTCAAGGCTAAAATTCTATAATATCCCATTTTGAAGGCTTGTTCGAAATATCCATAATGAATTTTAAATAGATTTCCATATTTCCCAGATAGTATAATTTCGTGACTAAAACATCAAATATGTAATTCTTAATTTAAATTTAAAGAAATAATAATATACAGTATTTATAATAACAAATATTTACTCAAGCATTTGATCGACTAAACTGAACAAGTGATCATGTCTATTGAATTTGGCAGTGATAAATTGATTTTTCAAACAATAACAGTTATTATTCGTTTTACAAGCTAATAATTTAACAGAAAATATTTATATATTGTCAAAAACAGTAATTTAATTATGTTGTAATACTTACTAGCAGTGTTGTACATGGGACGTGTCCACACTATGTAAAATGTCCAACGTTTAAGATTGTCCAAAATCGTCCAAACCTATGTTCCATGTTTAACTAATCAATAAAGTAATTTTAAAAAATATACAATTATATATTTTTTTAGATGCTGGACTCATTGGTGAAAAAATTAAAATAGATTATCTTAATAAAATTTTGAGTAATTTTAATTTGAAAAAATGTCCAAAATTGTCCCATATACAATACTGCTTACCAGTAACTTGAGTCACATCCAAACTATCCCGAATATAAACACTTTGGGATCCCATTCCAACCACATCTTTGACTAAAATTAGCATATATCATAACATAGTCAAAAATCATATAAATTTGTTTTATATAGTTATATTATGTAGAAGAAACTATTGCTTACTAAATACATATTCGATTTTTTATCCTCTGTATATTGGGCCAAGGTATCCAAACCACTACACACAGGAACTTCAACAACTTCAGTTCTATTCCAACCAAGCATATTAAAGACGATAAACCCTAGAAGTAAAAATATAATTATAAATTTTGAATTTTGGCCACCTTATTATTTTTATATTACAAACCTTTGTTTGAACTAGAAGCAGTGGCTGATATTTTAAAAAGTGTATCAAGAGCCTTATCCAAAAGTTTTGTCCCTTCATAGTTAAATATAGTACAAAATGATTTATATTTAATTGAGAAAAAACTTTAATATAAAATTACTAAAGTAAATTTACCTGTATTTTCAAGTTCTTGATAAAACTGAAGTTGAGTTGTAATAAGCAATATTAGATTTATTAGTGGTATAGATAAATAAATAACTTTTTATGACAATTTTTCTCTTTACCTTATTAGCATCATCGTATACCATTCCTATAGAAGAACCTGGCAACACATCGTAGAATTGATTCCTAAAGCATAATGAAATATTCTTAACTAACAAATTATGTTTTCCATTGCTTTCTACTCTACAAGGTCAATGGTCACGATTTACGCGAATGGCCTTAAATAATCAAGCACCAGGAGCGAATCATAGGTCCTTGTCACATCACTATTTTTCACTTGCATATTTGATAAAAAAAACTTACTTATCTTTTGAGAAGTTCTTCTGTCTTTTCTTTTCTCTTTTTTTGCTCACCACGAGCAATATATCTGAGGCACTTAATGTATCGATCCATTTTTTTGCTGTACGGCTCAAGGTCATATTGCTCTAAAAATTCTATAATATCCCATTTTGAAGGCTTTTGTTCGAAATATCCATAATGTTCATTCCTATTTTCGTCCATTCAATTTTGAAAGAAAGAGAAAAAATTATATCTACGTGATTATCTACACGTCGAGAATTTATATGAGGATAATCCATAATTTTGGGATTGCCAAATTTTATGCATGATTTTAGCGGTTTGATTGGCAAAAATACTGTTCCTGATGGATCGTCGGTACTGTTCCTGATGAGATGAAAAAAAAATTAATTTCATACCGTTCCTGATAGGGTTTTTAAAGGCACCCCAAAGTTAATTCTCATGACGACACTTAGTTATAATGCAAATGCTAATTCACGACCCATGTTTGATTCACAACATTGATTTCAACTTTTCTAAATTTTGGTCTCAAAATAATACAGTACCATATCTACGCGAAAAACTTCCATAGGCATTATTCAAGATAAGTAATTTGAAGAGAGCTAATAATTAATTTAGCAAAAGAATTATTAACATTAAAATTATGGTTGTACTTGGCTAAATTAAATATTAGCTCTCTTTGAATTACGTGTCTTAAAATAATGACCATGGGTGTCATTTTGCACGAATTCGTTAAGAAAATTTGGGTTGAAAAACTTTATTAAATGGTTAAATACTAATTTCCATTTTTTTTTTTGAATTTTATGTTATGTATTGGCATTAATAGTAGACTGCAATAGCTTTATATTTCGATAGTAGTTTAGTTTTAGAACCCTATCAGGAACAATATGTAAATCAGTTTTTTTTTTGTCCATCAAGAACAGTACCGACGATCTATCAGGAACGGTAGTTTTGCATTTGATTGGGTACAGATCATGTGTCATATGATTCAAAATTTTAGAATAGTGAAATTTTGTGCAATAATTCAAAGTCACGTGAATTACATGATATGGCCTGAATTATGAAATTTAATTTCTTAATGCCGGCTAAATCTAAAAATTTCCAAACTTTTTTGTACTATCTAAAAAAAATTTACTTATAATCCAAAAAAAAATCAGTGCTCCTGATTCCAGGTAACTAATTTGTAGTCAATCATTATTTATCGACTTAACTAAGAAAAATCAGCTTAGCCGGCTAAATCAGAGTTGATTATTCTATGTTCTATTTGATTAAACCTCGGATTCTTCAAATTTTTGGCTCATATTTTATATTTGTTAATTTTTTTTTCGGAAATTTTCAGATTCTATATAGTATAGTATAAACTGATCTAAATTTTTAAGATATATAATATATAAAATCTATCATAGTCGACTAAGTTAATTTTTTAAAAAATCAGCTGACTAAGCTAGCTAAGCTGATTTTATCAACTAATATGCAAAATTGACTACAAACACTAGTAACTGGTATTAATTTCGTATTTGTTTAAATGCTTTTGTAAAAAATCAAATATACTTTTTAGAAGATTTGGCTATATTGTAATTAAACTAGTTTTTAGCGGGTTTAAATCTTTAAACCAGGTTTGAAAAAAAATCAACCTCTTAAACCAAGTTAAATCTAGTTTTCAAAAAAACCCTATTCCTATTATTATTAAATATTTAAATATTTAAAATAGAGTAGATTCAAATCAATATAATAAATCCAAATCTGGTTTAGCTATATTGTAATCTAACTAGTTTGGTTTAACTGGTTTATATCAGAATCTTGACAAAATTCCAATAAACAAAATCCTGCCAAATTAAAATCCCAACACTCAAAATTCTAACACTACTAAAATTTTGCAAATTATATATGCGGTATATATAATATATGTGATTTGCTGATAATCAAAGTTCAAAAGTGCAATTTAGTATTTTTGCAAATTTTACTCAAAAAAAAACTTTCAATTTTTTAAATACTGCGTTCAACTATGTAATTTTTAATTGGAGAATAAATTAATACACAATTTTTTACAGCTATTATCATAACTTCTGAAACACCTGATAAAAAATTTGCCGAATGATTTTTAGCCAATCCGATTAAGTTATTGATTTTGGCATAATCGGTATATAAAATATATTTTTGAATCAAGTAATATTGATACTATGTCACAAATTAAATTATATTGTTAGTCCGATTTCAAAAATTACCCATATTTAATTGATATTAAATATAAAATTCTTACTAAAACATGCTCAGTAAAATTTTCATAAGAATTTATAAAACTTTCTTAAATACAACACGATAAAAGACTATTAAAAATCGTCTTTCTTGTGTTTTTTTTGAGCACACATTCCTAAAAAATTCTAGCCACAGTGTCATAATAGTGTTCTTTTGTCATAAGCAGTTTCATCTAAAAAAATTAATTCTTTTTTTATATACTGAGAGTTTCGTAAAATGAAATTGTTTCTATCAACTTCATTTATTTCTTTTGCAACTATAGAATAAAATTGTTATAAATTTATAAAGTAAAAATATTTATAAATATACAAATATTATCTTTTTGTGTGTATATCCAAGTTGGTATATAGCCCAACCAAAGTTCCATCTCGGATTGTAATTTATAAAAGTATCAATAAGGTTTTTCATTCATAAAGTTTAAGATATTTATATCGTTCATGATTAAAGAATGTGGTTTTCTTAAAGTGACGAAAGTTTTTCAATACAGCAATAACTTTGAAAATGCAAAGTACCCGACTTATAGAAGACCTACTAATACCTGAATGTTTTGCAATTTTTTGAATAAATAGGCCTTTTAAATTTTTTTCAATAATTTGCCAGTAAACGTATCATATTTTTTAAATTCAATGAGAGATAAGTATAATTTTACTGCATATTAGTTACTGGAAATTACATATACGTATTACAGTTTATATCGAATTTATTATTATTATTATGCCAAAATAATCCTTCTATTTATAATATGTCACTAATTGAAAAAAGTAATGGGCCCCATTAAATACCCCTGCTAACGCAGGGGTATTTCATGGGACCCATTACTTTTTTCAATTAGTGACAGAGATTAGTGCATCATAAGTAACTCTGTTAATTAGAGATTTTTTAAGTCCACCGAAGTGTCATAGTCACGTGACTTTTATTTTTTGTGTTCCCATGAAATTGGGCAAAATTCAAACTTCGCCGAATCGGAGTTTGAATTTTTGATTGTTTTTTACTTACAAAAATAATAATAATAAATCTATGATAATTTAAAAAAAATAAATTAAAAAAAAAAAAATATAATAAATGAAAAAATAATTTAAAAATTAAGAAAGAAATGACAATAATAAATTAAAGTAAAAACAATTATTTAAAACAAAAAAACAATTAAAAAACCCGGTAATATAAAAAAATAAAAAATCTGGAAAAATAATAATTTATAAAAAATGATTAGAAAAAACAATTATTTAAAACAAAAAAACAAAAAATAAGCAATAATAATTAAAAAAATAATTAAATTAAATAAAATAAAATATAAAAATATGTATATAAAATAAAATAAATAATTAAATATAAATTAAATAATGTAAAATAAATGTAAAATAAAATAAAATAAATATAAATCTGTGTAAAATAAAATAAAATAATTAAAAAATACCGTAGTTAAAAATAAATTAAATAAAATGTAAATAAAATGTAAAATAAAATAAAAATAATTAAAAATGCTGTAGTTAAAAATAAATTAAATAAAAAATATGCAAAATAAATTAACATGCAAAATAAAATAAATTAAATTAAATTAAGCATGCAAAAAAATACTAATAAAAAATAATCAAATTAATTATATAAAATTAAATAAATAAATTAAATAAAATATAAAAATATGCAAAATAAAATAAAAATAATACTTAAATATAAAAACGTGTAAATTAAATAAAATAAAATGTAAAAACATAAATTAAAAAATAATCAAAATATAATAAAAAAAATAAATTAAATTTGTACTATTAAATTAAATTAAATTAAAATTACATGTACTGAATTAAATTAAATTAAGCGATTCACCAAACAACTTTTCCCGATGATCATTTAAACCAAAAATCTGACTAAATAAAAAAACAAAATTTTGTTGGAGAGACGTGGCTATAAAGCGGGTTGTCTAGAGGTCAACGTAACTGCTAGTGGGACTCCTCTATTAATTAACATTTGGCATGCAAGCCAAGAGCGTTATTATACAAGATAACTGGCAGGTGGTGCCCTTGTATGAAAAATCTTGGTG